GTCAAGACATCGACTAGTTGATCTTTTGAAGAGACATAATTTAGTTTTACTGTTCCGTCATTAACATTCTCAGCAATGAAGTGTTTGCCAATCTTCACATGTTTAGTTATGTCGTGCTGTATTAGATTCTTAGCAATACTTATGGCCGACTTACTGTCACTATGAAGCTCAAAGTCGATTCTATCGCAAACCTCCGTCTCACTTAGGAGTTTTTGTAACCAAACACCTTCACAAATTCCAAGTGTTATTGCCCGATACTCTGCTTCAACACTACTTCTTGAAACTATAGCTTGTTTCATGCTTCTCCAAGTCATTAAGTTTCTCCACACAAATGAATAATAACCCATAGTTGATCTTCTATCTGCTAATTCTCCAATCCAACTTAAATCTGAGAAAATCTTGATTGTTCTATCTTCATGTTTTCTGAAAATTAACCTATGTCCTAGTGTCATCTTTAAATACCTAAAAATTCGATATATTGTATCCAAATGTTCTTCTCTAGGATCATTCATGTATTGACTCACAATGCTGATAGAGAAGGCTATATCTGACCTAGTAAGTGACAGATAGATGAGCTTACCTACTAACCTTTGATATTTTTCCTTATTTATTGGATTCTCATCTTTCTTTTACTTCAGATTTACTTTCATGGGAGTTTCCAAAGGCTTGCAACCAGTCATTCCGATTTCAGAAAGTAAATCCTTAATGTACTTCTTTTGCCATTTTCATGCCCAAAAAATATCTCAAGGTCCCTAAGTCCTTGGTTTCAAATTCTTTTGCTAGTAATGCCTTCAATTTCTTCTAAGTCATCACCTGTGATGATGATATCGTCAACGTAGACAATTAAGATTGTCTTTTTCTTGTTTGAAGCAATATACCAACTGAGCTAGGCGGGCATGGATAGATTGTTTTAGACCATATAGAGAATTCAACAATTTGCATACTTGCTGATTTTCATATTGTACTTGTACGCTGTTGGAATCTACATATAAACTTATTCTTCAAGATTGTCATTGAGGAATGCGTTTTTGGCATCCAATTGATACAATATCAAATCTTTATTTACTGCTAAGGATAATAATACTCTTACAATATTGAGTTTCGCAATTGAAGCAAATGTCTATTGATAGTCCACTCCATGAGTCTAAATAAACCTCTTTACCACGAGTCTAGCCTTATACCGCTCAACACTATCATTTACCTTGTATTTCATGTAAAGACTCATTTGTAGCTAACTGGTTTATTGTATTTAGGAAGATCATTAAAAACCCAGGTTTTGTTGCTTTCAAGAGATTAAAGTTCTTCTTCTACCACTTTCTTTTATTCGGGGCTTTTTAAAGCTTCTTCTATAGTCCCTGGAATGTGAATGCTGTCAATCTTAGCTATATATATATATATATATATATATATATATATATATATATATATAAAAAATAGGTATTAGTTTACCATAAGCAACAAATTTATCAATATGATGAATTGTGCACCTTCGTACTCCCTTTCTTTGAGCAATCATAACTCACTAGTATCAACCAAAAGTTTCAAATTACTTTCATCACCTTCGTTTTCCAAACAATTGGAGCTTAGTTATGGCTCTTGGCAATGCGCAGGTCGTGTGAGAACAAGGGTGTGTTTGGGTCGTCATTTATAGATAAGAATATCGATTTGGGAAATAAAGGGGGACACATATAGATTTGGTGTTTTAGGAGTGTCCACTAGGTTAATGGTTTGATGTATGTTTTTAGTATCAGGTGTAGTAGTGGTGTTAGGTGGTGTTTGTGTTTCGATAGGTTTAGTGGACGAGAGGTTGATGGGAAGTTCGATATTAACATAAAAACTGGAATTCACACTCACTCTCCCTTGGATTTCAGACTTACAGAAGAAAGGTTTATGTTCAAGGAATGTGACATCCATAGAGGTAAACAATTTCTTGGTAGAGGGACAATAACACCGATAACCCTTTTGAAGAGAGTAGTACCCAACAAAGACACACCTAATTTCCCGGGGATCAAGTTTAGACTTGGTATGATTTTGATCATAAACAAAAGCGGTACAACCAAATACACGAAGAGGAACACTAGTAGTTGGTTTAAAGTGAGGGGAAACTGGGAAAAAACATCCCAAGGACATTTAAAACCAAGAATTTTACTGGGCATGCAATTAATGAGATATGTTGCAGTTAAGTGGGCCTTAACCCAAAGATATTTAGGAACATAAGTAGAAAAAAGAAGTGCTCGGGTTACCTCAAGTAGATAGCGGTTTTTATGTTCAGCTACTGTTGAACCATGATTTGTATTTTGATATAACAAAAATGAATATTATTTTAAAGAAATTTTAAGATTATTTTATATTCAATTTTTAAATTTATATTCGATAAAATCACTTGAATATTGAAATTCTTTTTAAGGTAAAAAAACTCTATCATTACTCCTTACTCTTCTTGAAAATTAAAGTTATATACGGGAATAATTTTAAAACAATTTTACAAAGGGGTTCAGACTTTAATCGAGTCAAGAATTGATTTTAAACTCTGCAATATTGATTATATTTATGTAGTACTGATACCAATATCGATATTATTGTGAAAAACAGGCAGTAATACCGATACTCTGGATGGGAGTACCGATACTTTGGATGGGAGTACCGATACTCCCTTTATAATTTTGACAAAGACAAATTCCAGTAGCCATTTTTGATACAGATATTGTGCATGTATCGATACCAATATCGATTCTCTTACTAGAGTACTTATACTCCCATTTTCCAACTGTCAAAATTTTTGTAATTAATGCAGTCAGTATCGATACTCTAATCCCAAGTATCGATACTCAAGGCGTCTGGGCAGCATTTACAACGAGAAACTTCATCCCAACGACTCTATTGACCCCCCACAAGAACCAAACAACTAGAATTGAATGAGGAGGTATAAAACCAAGATTTCAAGCCGTATGTGAAGACAAGAAACCAAAAAGAAAGCCAAAGCAATCAAATTGATCCAAAATCAAAGTCAACATTCTTCAATATTCTTTTTGCTTTCAAAGAACACTATTGTACTCATTTATTTTATTCGAGTGTTCTTATTTGTTCTTGAATTGTGCAAACACATTCTTAGTGAGGTTTTCTAAGTGTAAAAATTTGTAATTTTCTCTTTGAGAAAATGTTCTCAAGAATTTGGGGTATAATTCTTGAGGGAGTTGTAAGGATACACATTGTCCTCAAAGGTTGAAAGATCCCAAAGAGTGAGATGGACAATACTATTTTCTTTAAAGAAAGATCATAAAGAGTGAGAAAAATATTCATTACAATTATCCGACTTAAAAATTCCAATAGAACTCTGAAATTGGTTTTCACTCAATTTGTGGAACCACTTAAAAATATCCTCAGCCTCAGGTTTATCTCGCATGAGAAAAGTCCATGTAGTACGAGAAGAATCATCAATAAAAGAAATAAACTGATAGTTATGTATTGTGAATGTGTTTGGAAAGATATGTACTGCGAATGTGTTTGGAAAGATATGTACTGCGAATGTGTTTGGAAACACTTAAAAATAAGCCTTTGACACAAGAATGACCCTAAATATCGTTATGTATCTTTGAAAAAGGATTTGGAGAACGAGGTGGAGAAGAAGGATATGTACTACGAATGTGTTTGGAAAGATGAAAAATATCACAAGAAAATGATGCAGGATTTTTGTTAACAAATAGTTTGGGAAACAACTTGGCAAGTTAAGGAAAACTAGGATGACCTAACCGAAAATGCCATAAAACAATTTCAGTGGATATATCTATAGGAGATGGAGATATTAAAACAAACAAGGATACAACAGTAGAGGATATATGGGTGAAGGAGAGGTTTCAAGGATGTAAAGTCCACCTCGACGCTTAGTATTGCCAATCATCATTCCCGAGCTCAAATATTGAAATTCACAAATATCTGAGTTAAATCGGGAAGTGAAACCCAAATCCGCAAATAATTTACTAACCAAAAGAAGATTGCAAGCCAAATTCAAAACATAAAGAACATTATATAGACATATGATGATTAAGCTGAACAGAACCATTATCCGCAATAGATGAAAGTGAACTATCAGCCGTTCGAACGCTACAACAAGAAACTGCTTTTGTAAAATTTTGAAAGAATGTGAAATTGCCCTTCATGTGATCACTAGCTCCTGAATCAACAATCCATGAAACAAAAATCGGAGATAACTGAGCAAAGTTAGGGCAACATTCACGCACAACACTTACGTGTTTGGGTTCAGAAGATAACTGAGTTGGTTCGGTTAATTCTTTGAGTTCGACCCGGAGAGTGCCTACTAAAGGCTTCAACATTTTTGATGGCTCATAGTGGAAAATCTCGAGGGTGAAAAATATGGTTGTGTATCAAGGCATGGACTTTGATCCATAGGAAGCTGAAGGTTGATGCTTGGCGGAGACGACAGTGAGATCGAGCACTGATGTTTGCGGTAGTCGATAAAAAGTGGTCATATAGGTTTGTGATGGTTCGTGATTAATAATAGGGATTAGGGTTTCACTAAAATCTTCTTTTTGCATCGCTGATCTTAATGAAGATTCATATGTGTTATGATGAACCATCGGTAGTGAGAGAAAACAAGTAAGAATTTACCCGAAATTGATACCATGTAGAACGATAATTTACTTAAAAATTAAATTATTTTTAATTTCATACCTCAATCAATAGTTACAATAGATATTTTATACAAGATATTACTAAGAGTCCTGACTAAGGTAAGAGTCCTAACTAAGTTAGAAGTTATCTTTATCTATAATAAAAAACTATAATTAAAAAGAATAAAATTCTAGTAAAACTAAAACTCTTATATGTAATATAAACAACTTCATCCCCGTTAAAAATGGAAGTGTAACACCCCCAATTCTGGGCTAATAGTTTCAGATTTACCCGAGAGGTAAGTAGACCCCATAGATTTCATAATTTAAGTTGTTGGGTTTAATTCAGTTGGATTTGGGCCTAATTAGCCATAAAAAGGAGATTGTTAAATATGAGATAAAAGACCAAGGACTAGAAGTGTAATTAGACCATTGATATAAATTAAAACTAAACTTTAGGGTTTTATATCAAGCTTTCAAGTGATCTTCCCATTTATTCTCTATCCTTTTTATTTCTTCTTCCTTCATTTTCTCCAAGTTGCCATAGCTCCAAGGTATAATCTTGTTTCATTTTTGTCCTAAATGCCCCCAACAACATCTTTTTTGAAGATTCAAGATTTGGGTTTTATTTTACAAGAAAAAGATGGGTTTTCATCATCCAAACATTATGAGGGTGATTCTAAGCTAAAAAAAGGTTCATTTGGGCTTTCTAAATTCAAGGTAGTGTATTTCTAATCCTTTGAAGTATTAAGATTTCATAAATTTCAAGTATTTGCCAATATTTACGTAGTTGAGCATATTAGGGTTCAAATATAATTTCAAGATCAAATTTTTTTAGGTGTTACTGTAACACCCCCAACCCGTATCCGACCCGGATCCGAGTCCGAAGTATCACATTGACATTTCAAAAACCTTTACTTGTATAAAATAGTGAGTAATTAAAATTTATTATTACATATAACTTATTCAAAACCTTTATCGAACTATTCAGAGCTTATACAATATATTATTTTGAATACATGCCAACTAGAACTTTATGTATTAAAATACATATTATTCACCTTTCTTCTGATCTGACCTTTGGTAAGGAGAACTGACCTGTCTTGCTCCAAATTGCTCTTTACTCTTCTCACTTCAGTAACCTACGTGTGAAATAATCACATGCTAAGTCGATGATTTAGTGAGACAATAAACATAAAATATAACTATAGCTTGTAATCATACATGAACAATTACTACTATCACTCATACCCTTATTCATGTAACAAATCCCTATAACACATATGCAATATATATCATTACATACAAAAACATATACACACATATATTCATCACTCATCAGTTCCATCATTAGCCTTATTTCATTATCAATATTATTATCGTTTATATCACTTAATACATATCCTCTTATACCTAGCATTTTAACCAACATTTGCCTCATTTAATCATACAATCCACATATCATCATATAAATCATATAATACTATCCATATCACAAAAGCATACAAATCACATGTAATATATTTGTTGTTTTTTCTTATTAGCCCATGTACACATGTGAAAACTATATATATATGAGTCTATAGAGATTGTGCACTAATTTTGTCACCATAGCTCATATAAATACACCGAAGTGCCACGTAGAATTGCACCGTAGTGCCGCGTAGAAATGCACCGAAGTGCCATATAATATTGTCCCTAAGGACCACATATCATTCCTTAAGAATCATATACATATGCCAAGGATCAAGTATGTGTCTCAAAAGACCTCACACATGTTCCAAAGAATACATATATGTCCCGAAGGACCGCGTAGACCCTCGACTCTTGGCATGCCAACTATACCCTAGCTCTCATGACACATAACATGAGCATCATCATTTATGTCATTTCACATTTTCACATAAACACGTAGTTCACTTTCACATAGCGCGTAGATTATGTCACATAAGTTGAATCACATATACGTATAAACACGTAAATCACTTTCACATATCACGTAGCTCATATTCACTTTTTATACTATTTCACATTTCTTGTCACATTGCTTGTATCTTACTTTTATGTCTTATCATATATATATATATATATATTCACATGTTCATATAATCTATCATTTCATCATCTAAATGTGTGTTCATATAATTCATCTTCCTATATATATATATATCATTTTTCCTATACTTGTATTCACATCATTTATATTCTCCTTATCATAATCTCATATGTCCTGATTAATAGCTTATATCATATATGTATAAAATAACTTATCTCATGTCATATAGCTTATACCTCATTCTATGATATTCACCTAGATCATATCACATCTGTGACACTCATAAACATATGTCACTTCTATTATTTCATTTATATACTAATTTATTTACCTAATTCAATTCATATAGTACCTATAACTTTCTAATATGACTACATAGATTTCCATCATACAACCCATATATCATAATTTTATTTAAGCATATGTATCTTTTCCATCTAACTCATCTTATATGTTCCTATTATCACTTATGTTCAAGTCTCATATCATCATATAGGTCAATATTATCTATCTTGTTTCAATTCTCATTCAATGATATAATTCTATTTACTATTTCACATAAATGTTCATACTACTATTCACTTACCCAACTCACATTCTTATTGTTTATATAACCTTTACACTTGAGTACTTCATTACTATCATTTCTTCTAAACTCGCTTTTTACCATATTCCCATATTATTACCTAATTTATCTCATATCATGTATTCGCGTAATCTTATATTCCATTGCTATATATCTCAAAGATCTTATCACATAACTTCTCTTTTATATTCATATAATTTCTTATCATATCATCATAACATAGCATATCATCATAACATAGCATATATTCATATCAACCATGAAATACATATACAATAACATGTCAACACATACCATAACATATAACTCAGACACTCATAACAAACACATGTTCATGTTCATTCTTCATGCACAATACTATAGAAATTAGACTTGTCACAAGTCTTATTTCCCATTAAACATCATATATAAAATAATACGCACTCACCTTGGCCTCACTAAGTTCCAATCCATTTTTATAATTTCCTCTCTTGTGATCGAATCATAACTTGATAGTTGCTTCGGGACTTGTTTGTGCTCGATATCTATATAATCATACATTGATACATATTAGTATCCAATTGATATACACTAATCTATCATTTCTTAGACCAAAAGAAAGGTATAATTCTATTTCCCTTGAAGTGCATCGATGCATTCTACAGTGTATCGATGCATCCCTTAACATGTGCATCGATGCACTCCTTATGCATTGATGCATTAATTGCATTCGATGTTTCCATTTTTAAGGGTGCATCGATGCACTTCCTGTGCATCGATACACACTGAACAATTTCTGGAAATTTACCCTTGATGCACCGGTGCACATTGAATGTGCATCGATGCACTTCCTGTGCATCGATACATACTGAACAATTTCTAGAAATTTACCCTTGATGCATCGGTGCACATTGAACGTGCATCGATGCACATATCCCAGAATTCATTTTTAAACCCAAAATCTACTCAAATCAACTCAAATACTTCATCTTTCAACCCCTTACATGTTCTTAACTCATATACACATGCTTAAACCAATTTATATCCATATAAACCATCTTTAGCTTCAAAATTCTTTTCCTCATATGTAACTCAAGAATTAAACCAACTTTGCAATATGTTTTAATTCCAATTATATGGCTTCTAACTTCTTAATTAGACCATTGACAAGTCAAATTTAACTTCCAACTCTAGTTATAAACTCTATTTCAAGATTTTACCCAAGAACCTCAAATCTTTAATCCCTCCTAACTCCATCATACTTTGATTTTAAGATAACTTAAGCTTTCCTTAAGCTTAGTTATCATCTAATAATCAAAACCCAACCTTAAAATCAACAATTAATTCATAAACAAAGAAACTCACCTTTGAGCTTGGAGATACGAGAGGAGGAAGAAGAAGGAAGAAAACTCTAGATAATTCTCTTTTCCCACGTGGTTCCTTATCTTATAAAAGGAATATAAAAATCTTACTTGTCAATTGGCCATTTTACCCTTTAATTCATTCAATAATTACTAAATAACCTTCATCATATTTCCAATAAATCATTGAACTATTCCATTATCCTACTTTAATCACCAATTTCTAAAACTTTACAATTTGGTCACTAACCCGGTATTGAGGATGTTACAGTTACTAATGTGTTTTATGACACCTAAGGACCTTAGTTAACTCCCTAAAACTTTAGTGCATGATTTAAAATCAAACTATGGACTTCAGGATGTTTTTTAAGTGTTTTTCGAACCTAAAATAAGCCTTTCAAAGTTCAAGTATCGATATTGGGATGAACAATATCGATGATGTATGAATTGGGGAAAAAATTAGGGATTTTGACTAGAGTATTGATACTGGCAAGGGGAGTATCCATACTGTCCCCGTAGTATCAATATTCAGGTGTCAGTATCGATACTAAGGCCCTAATTTTGCGACAAAGTGCATTTTTGGTACCGACACTCATAGAGGTATCGATACATGACACTTGGGTATCAGTACTACAAGTAGAGTATCGATACTACTCGCTTTGGATTATCAAATTTGACCCGTTTAAGGTTCGTAAGAGCTAAGGATAATCCATAATAGTAAGACTTAGTCCGTGAAGGATGTAAACGACCAAGTATACCTAGAAGCACTCGCAAGAGTAGGTTACATCAAGAATAACCATATTAAGCATAATATGCCAAAGTATCATTATAGGAGACATTCGATAAGTTGTACGATGATTATGTTAGATTGGGGTCAGTTTTCGATGCATGTAAATTTTGGTTTTTACCCCTAGGCTTTTCCGTATCCAAGGTAGGTTGGGGTGTTGATCTGAGATACACGTACATTCCTTCCACCTCACTACTAGAACTACCTCATGTTTGTTGTTTCAGTTATGCATGTCTAGTCTCATCAGTCAGTACTTCAAATATGTTAAAGCTTAGCTTGAAGGTTATGTGAGATCGAGTCAATGCTTCAGTTTGTACAGGAATTATATCGATGCTATGTGACACTGGGTTTCCCTCAGTGATCTACTTGATGGCTATATGAGGACCAAGAGATCATTCAATATGTTTGTGAGAATTACGTCGATGATATGTGACACCGGGTTCCCTCAATAACTAGTGTCTGAGAGCTATGTGAGACCAAATATTAGTCAAATTTGCATTCAAATAATGTACAATATGTCAGGTTTGCATTCAGATAATGCACAGGAGTATTAGTGTGGCATTTAGATAATGTGTAGCATGTTCACTCATTAGGGTTAGAGACCCTTTAGAGGTAT